GAAAAATTTCAATATGGATCATTTACACTAATTAATAGGATCACTACTTTAAAACCTAATAAGTGATCTAGAAATATTGTGTCACCACTTTCTAGAAATAAAAGGATAATTGCCAAAATATCAAGAAGAATAAAGAAAAAATGTTTGGAAATGTAAAAATAAATTGAATATATCACTACTCCAAAACTATAACTGATCTAGACATATGGTGTAATATCAAAACTGTTCATATTGAGACAGAAAAGAGCAGTAAATAATTAGACCCTACTTAAATATCACCACTATCTAGGAATAAAAGGACAATCACAAAATGTCAAAAATGTATAACTTACAGCAAAAAAATGTATCACTACATAAAAAATATGACTGATAGAGAAATATATTGTGTATAAAAGTTGTTCATATTGAACAATTGATTATCTAAGAATAAAGAGAAAAGCTTCAAAATGTCAAACCAGGCATGTAATTTACACCATGAAAATGTATCACTTCTCTAAAACTATAAGTGTTCTAGAAATGTGGTGTCTATAAAAGTCTTCATATTGAAGCAAGAAACCATAGTCCATAATTATATCTCTCCTGGATATCACCACTTTCTAGGAATAAAAGGATTGTCACAAAATAGCAAAAATAGTAAGCTTACGATAAGATAATCCATCACTACTTAAAAGATATAACTGATGAAGAAATATATTGTGTGTAAAAGTTGTTCGTATTAAACCATTAATTCATAATACATAACCAGTCAGAGTATAGTTACTACCACTAACTAAAAATAAAGGGAAAATCTTCAAAATATCTAAATAGGTTATTTACACTTTGAAAATATATCACTGCTCTAAAACTATAAGTGATCTAGAAATATGGTGTCTATAAAAAGTGTTCATATTGAAGCAAAAAACCATAGTCTACAATTCTATCTCGCCTAGATATCACTACTTTCTAGGAATAAAAGGATAATCACAAAATGGCAAAAATAATAAGTTAACATTAAGATAATTTATCACTACTTAAAAGATTTGCTGATCGAGAAATATGTTTTGTATAAAAGTTGTTCATATTCGAACCAAAAATTTATTATCCATAACCATTTAGAGTCTAGTTATTGCCACTCTTTAAGAAACAACATGAAGACAGCATTTTCAAAATGTCAAAATATCTACTATAAAACTGTAAGTGACCTAAAGAAATACGGTGTTTATAAAAAGTGTTCATATAGAACTTAAAACGCTTGATCCATAACCAATTCTGGTTAAGCTACCACCATTATCTAAGAATAAAGGGAAGATCTTCAAAAGGTTAAAATTATAAATCAAACTTATGATTATTTTCTATTACGTTTTCTGACTACCTTTCAATAAAAGTTGAATTTTATTGATAATTGAGGCAATAAAATATTTGAATTTCTTCTCCTCTATCGTAAGACCATTGACTATATGCATTTTGGGTATAAGCAGCGAATCTTATTTGATTACATAAGTTAAGACAGTGTGCAGTTAGAGACTCAAACATGAAAAAGTGTTTGCTTCTTATGAAATCGTGTCAGCTTATTGAAAGAGTATCTTCTAAATTTTCCCTCGATATGTAACATAGCCTAAAGATCATAGAACCAATAAAAATGTATGAACTAGTATCTTAATTACTAATAGAGCGAGCTAGCACTAAATCATAATATGCGTAACAATCAACAACACAAGAATAATATCAATAATAATAATAATAAGAAATATGAATGGTCAAATGACTCTTAATTAGTTATGGTACTCTATGGTGGGTTCCTGGTTATAAAGATATTGAGGGCAACAAAAAAAAACGGAAAAGGTGGCCAAAGAGAGGACTCAAAGATAGCCTTGCGCTGGAAAGAACTTCCAGGACACAGACAAGCGAAAAGTATAATAACTCCGTTACAAAAGAAATCCAAAGAGGTTTTATGTCTCATCATCCTGAGGTCACTATTAGGTTTCCTAACGCGCTGTACGTCCCTAAAATACCATCTATTCAACATTAGACTAACTGACGATCAAATTTCTCGACTTTGCAATGACAAGTGAGAGACTAATGAACATATTTTGGAGGGCTTAAGTTACAATAGATCTCATAGGTGGCGGTGACGAGAAGGTCCGTTTTCCTCAGCCCAGCAGCAATGATAATAATAATAATATGGTCACCTCTATGATTGCTTAAAGCACAATGTTGTAAGATAAAATCATGCTAGCGACCACCTTAACACTATTTTTTGCGTTCCACCAACTCAACCCAAGTACTAATAATTGATGTTTATGCATTCTGTTTCTAAAAGATATGGTTGGTCATTCCCATGATGATTGCTGATGAAAAGTTGTTTATTAAAAAACTCAAGCAGTGATAATTAAAAAATATTTGCCATAAAATGATGCCAAGCAAAACGTCAAAAATATTCCAAAGTCATCTTTTCTGATCTTGATTCTATTTCGTTATTTCAAAAATCCGGAAAATGTAGGATATCTAAAAATAGAGTTGCAACGTAGCTTCCCATATTTTTACAGAACTAACTACTTTTACTAATAGGTTATCAATACGTAGAGTAGATTATTAGGAATGATGGAGGGTACCAGCATACTGAACACACACACATCAATAAAGTGAAGTTCATTGTTCCCAACAGAATCTACTTATAAGTTGAGTGGGAATAATCTAATAACAGGATTTTTTGATGTAATTATTGATTCGTTTGCAATGTCAATTAATGAATAAAACGACATTCTTTGTATCTATTTCAAATTTAACTTTTCGAAATGTCGTCAGTTATTACGGTCAACAACAAGGACTAGGGCATTTGCATTTTTAAATAGTCTAGTATCCCCATTAGCGTTACGATCGATGGTTCGATCGAAATCAGGCCGCCCGGTGACTCTCCGATAATAACGCATCGCGGACAGCCGGTGCTTTTCGTTTGTTCTGATTTGACCGCTCCCGCGCCCGTTACCAATTCGAACTCGAACCGGCGGATAATTTATTAAACACGGCAAAACGCAAAAACTATTAGCCTCTGCGCTCGACACGCCCAGGGCGCGCGATTAATATTTGTTCGATGGCGCTGCGGCGGTCGTGCTTCCGGCTCGGTCGACAGAGGGCGCCGAACGAAGCGGGCGCGCTATGCGAGTAAACTCATAAAGGGGATGGGTACGTCCATGCTTTCTACCGCCGCCGCCACTGCCTGCTTTCATATAACGACGGTCTCTGCTCGACGTTTGTAAACCGTTTTCGAAGGAAAAAGCTCTCTCCCTCTCGATCCATGTCTATCGCACGGGACGCCGTGCGGCACCCCGATACCAATAAAAAAGTAATAAAGGGTCGATAAATAACGAATATTAGAGAGGTCGGCGTTACTGCGGCACTACTGGCCGGGCATTTTCAGCTTTAGTTTGCGGTCTCTATAATAATTTTCAACCGGTATGCTCACGAATACATTGCCGTATCTATTCATCCATACATACTAAAAAAAATATTGTATTAATCTAAAACTAGAACTAACACTAGCACTATCACTAGAACTAACACTAGCACTATCATTAAAACTAACACTAGTACCATCATTAAAACTAACATTAGACCTAGAACTAAAATCATTCGGGTTTAGCCGTCTTGAGAGACGTGCGGCTAAATCCGAATGTTTCTAGTTCTAGGTCTAAAGGTAGTTCTAGTGCTACTATTAGTTCTAGCCTCAGTTGTTATTCAACACTAGATTATTGTATATCTTTATTGATCCAAAACTAGAACTAACTCTAGACCTAGAACTAGAGTTCATTTTAGTGCTAGTATTAGTTCTAGTTGTTACTAAGCACTAGCTTATTGAACTCAAGGGCCGTAAAGCGTATTGTACAAGGTTAACCAAACAGAGTGTTTCATTAGGAAAAGAAGGAAGGAATATATTTGAGATAAATTACTTCTCTAGCTCTCACTAATGTAATGTAGTTGTTTCGCAAATATCTGAGCCTATAACACAAATGTAAACACGTGTACTTGAAAGTTAATTAACTTTGACATTTTCTTGATGACTTAAAAATGACAACTGAATGAGCCGATAATTTAGAAAATAATTTGAAGATATCAATATTGTTTATTTACATATTATTTAATAATTTATAAAAATTTAATAAAATTAATTATTAAAAATTATTTTAAAAAGTAGAGTTAAATTATTCTATAACTTTAATTTATATAATAAATACCACCTTGATAGTTGTTAAAAGCGCCCTCTCTTGGTAACAATGATTAAAATGAAACTGCCAAATTAAAACGATGTTACCGAGGTTACGAAATTTAATTTTATTTTTAAAGATTATAGAAAGTATCAGGTTTAGCCGTGCGTCTGAAGAACAAACCCGACTTTTTCTAGTTCTAGGTCTAGTGTTAGTTCTAGTTTTACATTGTTACTAATATTTATCATTGATACCGAGAGAGGGCACTTTTAATAACTAGGTGGTCCGTATTATATAAATTAATAGTTATATTCCTGTTTTATTGTTATAATAATTAATAAATATTAAACTTTTTTTTATTTGTAAACAAGGACAGTAGAATCTAACAGGACTGCTACATCCATTGTATTTTTGTAGTCCACTACGGGTTGGTTGCCCGCACTATACGTCACACTATTTGCCACGCCTGGTAACTGTCTGTGTTTTTAGAGGTTATATGATAAACATTAATACGTGTAAAAACATAAAACTTCAAAAATAATACGAATATGTCTACGATATAACCTCTAAAACCACAGAAAACGCATAGAGCTGGGCGTGGCAAATGGTATGACGTAGTTTGCGGGCAGGTTGTCACAACAATAGATGTAGCAGTCCTGTTAGATTCTACTGTCCTTGATTTGTAAATATTAAACTATTTCATTAAATTTTTATAAATTATTAAATGATATATAAATAAAATAAACAATATTGACATCTTCAAATTATTTTCTACTTTATCGGCTCATTTAGTTGTCATTTTTAAGTCATCAAGAAAATGTCAAAGTTAATTAATTTTCCCGTACACGCGCTTAGTTTTGTGTTATTGGCTCAGATATTTACGAAACAACTACATTATATATGTGAGAGCTAGAGACTGAAACGAAGTAATTTATCTCAAATATATTCCTTTCTTCTTTTCCAAATGAAACACTCTGTTTGGTTAACCTTGTACAATACGCTTTACGAGCCTTGAGTTCAATAAGCTAGTGCTTAATAGCAACTAGAACTAATAAAGCCTTGAGAGACTCATGGCTAAACCCGAATGTTTCTAGTTCTAGAAACGTTCGGGTTTAGCCGTCTTGAGAGACGTGCGGCTAAACCCGACTTTTTCTAGTTCTAGGTCTAGTGTTGGTTCTAGTTTTAGTTCAATAAAAATATGCAACATAGTGATAGTTTATGCTTAACTAACACAAGACCTAGAACTAGAATCATTCGGGTTAGCCGTCTTGAGAGACGTGCGGCTAAATCCGAATAATTCTAGTTCTAGGTCTTGTGTTAGTTCTAGTGACAGTGATAGTGTTAGTTTTAGTTTAATTTACACCGGCAGTGAGCATATTCTTTTGATAAATGTTTATATTTGATTCCAAATTGTTATTATATAAAAGTAGATTCATTAAGTTTCCGCAAACTACCCCGTTGAAAGTCTTAAATAATAAATCAGTTTTAATTTTTCAAAATTTTTTTAGAATACATCCCTGGTTGTACCACACTCTGTCGTCGACACTTCCGAGCCCAGTTTTATTCGGAATGAGAGCGGCGGTTGCCGCCTCGGCATCATTGCAGGCGGCACCGGCCTTCCCTGCCACCCCTCGCCGCCCCAGAACTGTGGTTCTTTGTTCGCGGCGCTACTGCCGCCGGCGACCGAACCCAACAAACGAACGAGCGAGCGAGCGCTCAATTCCGGGGATTAAGTTCGCGGCGCAATCCGCGCCCTGCCGCCACAGCAGCGAGCTTCGAGAACGAGGAAGTAGGGAAACTGGAAACCGCCACCGTCGTTCCATCGTATCCGCCCGAATCCTTCTTTTTTCGGGAAGGCACGACCGACTGGCTTCGACTAACTGCGAACCAGCGGCCCGAAGATAATCCGCACCGTAGAAAACCAAAAAGGTGCATTTTTCTGGCGAGAAGTGTCCCATCTCGGAAACGTTACAAGAAAAACTTTTGTAAGATTAACAATAAAATGATTCTAATTGAATGACATAATATTATAACTAAAATATGATTATTATCAACCTAACTGGTGTTAAATCCCAAGCGTTTTAAATTTGACGCGTTTAAGAACAAAATGGGTTTTAACTCAAAAATTAAAAACTTTTGATGAGAATGGTATTAATAGAAATTGTTTATAATAAATCGCTAAAACATAATCTATAAATAATTTCGTTTTTTTTTAGTTGTAGACCACAAAATATATCTACATTTTTGATTAAATGAATTAGTTGCTTTAACATATGTTTTGTAGTAAATTTGATAATTAACATCCGGTTTATCATAGTTATCTTAAAAGTAGATGGTTTTAGCTTTAATTTGTGATATATATCAACAATTAATTCCAATTAATAAAGATTACATGATTTTTTTTAATATTTGTGGTTATCAAAACGACCAAAAATTCTTTAAAAATCATTTTTGCTTTACTTTAAGAGGTTGAAGAGTTATTTTAATATCAAATTAAAGCTAAAAGTGTCGTTTTTCGAATGATATATCATAATCATTGATTTACTAACAAAAAAATTTGAGAAATAATTTTTAACAAAATAACTTAAAATTGGTTAAAATAAATAAGTTGTTTAAACAAATATTTTCTGGAAAAGTTGATAATTAACGTCTAGGAAATTATAGTTGTTCTTAAAATAGATAGTTTTAGCTTTAATTTGAGATATATATCATCAATTAATTTACACGTTTTTTTAAATTTGAGTGATTATCAAAACGACAAAAAATTATTAATAAATCATATTTGGTTTATTTTAAGGGATTGAAGAGTTATTTTTATACCAAATTAAAGCTAAAAAGTGTCCTTTTTTGAATGATATGTCATAATCATTAATTTACTAACGAAAACATTTGAAAAAAAATTCTTAACAAAAAACCAAAATTGGTTAAACTGAATGAACTGTTTTACAAATATTTTCTGGAAAACTTGATAATTAACGTCTAGGCTATTATAGTTTTTCTTAAAATATATGGTTTTAGCTTTAATTTGAGGTATATATCATCAATTAATTCCTGCTAATAAAGATTGCACAATTTTTTTTATTTTAACTGTCATTAAAATGTAAACAATTAAAAAAAAATCATTTTGGCTTTATGTTATGAGGTTGAGGAATTATTTTTATATTAAATTAAAGCTAAAAGTGCCCTTTTTCGAACAATATTTCATAATTATTAATTTACTAACGAAAAAATTTGAGAAAGATATCTTAACAAATTACCCAAAAATTTTGCTGTTTTAATAAATATTTTTAGGGAAACTTGATAATTGACTGATAGCCTAGATATTATAGTTTTTCTTAAAATAGATGGTTTTAGCTTTAATTTGAGATATATATCATCAATTAATTCTTATTACTAAAGATTACACGATTTTCTTAATTTTTGTGGTTATCAAACTGACAACAAATTTTTTAAAGATAATTTTTGCTTTATTTAAGAGGTTAAAGATTTATTTTTATACCAAATTAAAGCTAAAACTGCCTGGTATATCATAATCATTGACTTACTACGCAAAAAATTGAGAAAAATTTTTAACAAATTTACCTAAAATTTGTGCAAATGTACTAGTTTCTTTTAGCAAAAGCTTTCTAGAAAATTTGATAATTAACGTCTAGGACCTAGGTTATCATAGTTAGTGTTAAAATAGATAGTTTTAGGTTTAATTTGAGATATGTATCATCAATTAACTCCTATTAATAAAGATTACACAATTTTTTAAATTTTTGTGGTTATCAAAATGAAAGAAATTTAAAAACATTATTTTTGCTTTATTTTAAGAGGTTGAAGAGATAGTTTAATACCAAGCGCGCTTTTTCGAATGGTATATCATAATCAACGATTTACTAACGAATAAATTTGAGAACTTAACAAAATTACCTAAAATTGGTTCAAATGTACTAATTGTTTTAACAAAAGTGTTCTAGAAAATTTGATAATTAACGTCTAGATTATCATAGTTTTTGATAAAATAGGTGGTTTTAGCTTTAATTTGAGACATATATCATCAATTAATCCTGCTAATAAAGATTGCACAATTTGTTTAATTTTAACTATCGTTAAAATGTAAAAAATTTAAAAAAATCATTTAGGCTTTATTTTATGAGGTTGAGGAATTAATTTTATATAAAATTAAAGGTAAAAGTGTCCGTTTTCTAATGATATATCATAATCAATAATTTACTAACGAAATAATTTGAGAAAGATATCTTAACAAAATACCCTAAAATTGGTTCAAATGAATGAGCTGTTTTAACAAATATTTTCTGGGAAACTTGATAATTAACGTCCAGGCTATTATAGTTTTTCTTAAAGTAGATAGTTTTAGCTTTAATTTGAGATATATATCATCAATTAATTCCTGGTGATAAAGATTACACATTTTTTTTTAAATTGTAACTGAAAAAATCATTTTGTGCGGCTTTATTTTATGAGGTTGAGAAATTATTTTTATATCAAATTAAAGCTAAAAGTGCCCTTTTTCGAATGATATATCATAAGTATTGATTTACTAACAAAAAATTTGAGAAAAAACAAAATTACCCGAAATTGGTTCAAATGTACTATTTGCTTTAACAAAAATTTTCTAGAAAATTTTATAATTAACGTCTAGATCATAGTTTTTGTTCAAATAGATGGTTTTAGCTTTAATTTGAGATATATATCATCAATTAATTCCTGCTAATACTTAAATCATTAAAATATATCATTCAAATGTCTAAGAAAATCATTTTGGCTATTTTATGAGGTTGAGGAATTATTTTTACATCAAATTATAACTAAAGAGCTTCTTTTTCAACAACATTTTTCATAGTTGTTAACTTAATTATGGAAAGATTTGGTGCTACACTCTGATTACTACTAGTAGATGTAAAATGTTTCCTCATAATCCCACTTAAGTACTTAAGTGTACCACGTCAAATATAATTCGTAGTATACAATCGTGTAATAAGGATGAAAATAAAGTATTCGTTCATTGAACACAATGGGGAGCATTTTCAATGCGTCTTTTTCAGTATTCCAGCAAGTATCTCCCCACGTCTCGCCGCATTCCACCGTCAGTTCCCAGGGTTCGAGAGTCGGTAACGACGAGAGAGAGGAGAAGGCAGTGAACAGAACGCGGCGTTTCCCGGTAAGTATTCCCTCTCGCCCGAAACGGGAATGCGGACCGACCGAGGGACCGTTCGATCGGGCTCGGCCTTATCTGTCAACGATACTAACAAGAGCGATCGCGCGCTACCCTTGGGTCGGGAAAATCGCTGGGGACGGTTTTGGGGCGCGTTGCCGTCCCGGGGCGGTGGAAAGGGGGGCTGCGACGAGAAAGGGAATGGATGGAGGCGCGGAGGGTTCGCCAAACACGCGGCAGCGCCTCCATCAACAATGAGCCCTCCCGAACCGAGGACCTACGTGCTCTGACGCTCAAGCACCGACCTGCGACGTTACGACCCCGACCGATGCTCAAAATGATCCCCGTCGTTGAATTTATATGCGCGTGGAATTTAACGATGTCAGCTAATGTGGCTAACAAATCTTTTTTTTTATATTCGAACCGCACTTCAACGTTACTTTGTGGCACATTTAAATCGTCACTTTGTGTAACGTCCATGTGTTCAAATATATTTTTTATTGGAGTAAAGTGTTTTTGCTTATCACGTAATGTCGTAATGAATTACTTATTAGAGTTTGACCTAATTTTGATCCCAACGGATATCCCAACGAACGAGAACGGTTGGTTACAAGGGATATACGATAGGAGGGTGTGATGTAATCATAGAGGAGGGTGTGAGCCCAGTCATCTAGATGTTTACCTCCTGCCGAGCTGTCCTTTATGAATCATAAATTCCATGTTGAGGCGTCATCCAACGTTCTATAATAACGTACTATAACAACGTTTCATCCTAACGAAGAAAAAGTTGAAAACAAGTACAAAGATACGCGGGTTAATTTAATAATAAAATTTATGACACGCGCCCGCTCATGTTATAAAATCGAGCTTAAATGTTTAAATTTAACCCTTTGTGTCCCAAGAAGTCAAAAATTTTCTTTCATTACAACATAAATAAACATTGCATAAAGTACATTTTGAGTGGGGTCTAGCTTTGGCAGAACAATTTTCGCAACTTCCTCTTTCTGTTGAACTTACGCTACAACATTTTCGTGGACGCAGTAAATTTGAATATTTATTTATCAGTAATTATCAAAATCTGATAGAATATTGGGAAAAAACATATTGAGCAAAAACTAACATTTTCGCATAATCTAATTGTCAAAAAAGATGCAAATTCAAAAATTCCTGGAAGCCGTATTTATTGAAATTAAGGAATGAGACTTATTCTAAATTAAAGCTCAAAGCTTTTTCTTTAAAACGATGTATAATAATTGTTGGGTTGGATTGGAAAAATATTGAGAAAAAAAATGTTGAAACAAAACTTACATTTTCGTATAACCTAAAAGTGTCAAAAAAGATGTTAATTTAAAAATTCCCGGAAGCCGTATTTATTGAAATTAAGGAATGAAACTTATTTTAAATTAAAGCTCAATGCTTTCTTTTTAAAATGATCTGTAATAATCACACCTAATAACCATTTATCAAAGAAATACCTTTTTGAACAACAAAATTCAACAAGACCACTTTTCACTAAACTTCTAACTTCACATCTGGATGAATAAGTTTAAATAGGTATACCTAAAAACCCTACAGTGCGGATTGTGTAATTTTTTATACAGATTCTTTCTTGTATAGACTACAGTTTAAAATGAGTGTTTAAAACTAGCGGTACTTTAAAGTACCGTCGGGACACAGAGGGTTAATGTCGAGACATGTGTTCGTAATAGAATTATTACCCCGTATGATAATAGTTGCAAATAAACCCTCCAGGTATTTTTTTTTTCAAGTCAACAACCGAATTAGTGATGAATGCTTCACCTGTTATGATCCTACGAAGGTCCTTTGAACGTTCTCTACCTGAAAGTGCTTCTTGGCAA